AACTAAATTGCCCATATCTCGGTTTAGTTCGCGATATTCGCGGAATTCGCGGAATTGATCTCACCAAAATTGTAACAACTCAATCAGTTTTCAAAATTTTTGCATGAAATTTTTGGAATCGACTCGAAATCGCATTTCGACCTTATTTTAAGAACGGATTTTTGATTTAGGCCTCAAAAAAAATTTGGCGGCCAAATTCCAAAATTATATTACAGAAATTCAGAATTTGGCCGCCAAATTTTTTTTGAGGCCTAAATCAAAAATCCGTTCTTAAAATAAGGTCGAAATGCGATTTCGAGTCGATTTCAAAAATTTCATGCAAAAATTTTGAAAACTGATTGAGTTGTTACAATTTTGGTGAGATCAATTCCGCGAATATCGCGAACCGAGATATGGGCAATTTAGTTCATTTTTTGTGGTTTTTTCGCCTTAGTATCCACATTTAAACAGATATAAAGCTATAACTTACAGAGAATATGTAGTTTAGGCTTACCTTTCATATAAAGTAAGTCTCATCCAAAAATATTGATATTTGACCAATTTATGGGACGAAATCTACCAAATTTGGTGCGTATGCCCAAATATGGGCATATGGTTTTTGGCTCATAACTCAGTCATTTTTTGTCCAATCTTGATGAAATTTCATATACGAGTTCAGGAGACCACTAGCTACAAGTAGAGCACCATAAACCTGGGTTTTGGGCATGTTCAGGGTATTTGGCTAAATTGGGCCTAATTTGGACCAAATATGGGCGTGGCTGCCCTGCGCGCACCGTTTGGCGGTTGGGGTCCGGGACCCCCTCAAAAGTTCGGTCACTGGTCCTAGTTTGTTGGTCAACTACTATCTCGAAATCAAGTTTCACAAAAAAATACCCATTGACCCCCCCCTTAACGAACAACTGCGTTCAGGAAGATTTACCTTCAGGAGCAATAATCCTGGCGTTATTCCATCACCCAAGATCGTCAAGGACTTTTTAGGAATAGACAACTTGACTAAACAACAGTACGATTTGATAAATTCAAATGAGAAGTTTTTGTGGATCAATGGACCCGCTGGAGCTGGTAAAACTGTTGTACTACTAGCTAAGATACTACAACTAGCATTGTCAAGTGAAGACAACAAAATTTTGTTATTATGTGAAACGCATAACATTGGTGACGCCATGACATTCCCAGAGTATCTACATAAGCCGCTAGAAAAAGCAGGTGTTAAGCACTATTCTATTTTTGAGAGAGAAATGGTTGGTAAACCTGCTGATGAAAGCTATCGTAGAATAAGAGGCTATCTTAATGACAATCAAGTTGTCATAATGATGATTAGGGATTTTAATACTGAAACTAAGCATATCGAAGGCATCGATAATACATCGCTAAAAAACATAATACGTTTATTTCAAGGAAAAGGAATTCACGTGTTTTTCGACGATATTCAAGGAGTGTTCAGGTGGGATAAAGTAAAAAAAGACATCAATAAAAAGTATGAGATATTTAAAGCATTGTTCGAACTGTCATGTTCTTGTCACGTTTGGATCTCATGTGACACGCTACAAAGCCCACATTATATTGTTGATGAGGATGAAAGGTTCAGACACGACTCTAGACTAGCTGGATTTTTTAACGACGGATTATCATCTACACAGCTAGTAAGTCTATCAAAGAACTTGAGAAACACCTCTGATTTGTCGAGAACATTGTCAGTAATTCGAGAACATATCATTGAATCGGGACACTATGTATCAACATTTAGAAACGATTTTGCCACTTTACAAGCCCCCGGGCACTACATACATGGCCCAAAAACTATCGTGCATGTTCTGCAAAATTTCAACGAAGAACTTATATATTCTATTCTTGACAAAGAATTTAATGAATTATGTTTTGATGATATGATAGATAGTAATGATGTTGGTATTCTTTACAATAATAATATTGAGGTTAATGACGTAGCAAAATTAGTTAAAACCATTGTGGATGGGATATTATTTTCAAAAGATATTACACCATGCTATGTGCAGTCAACATATTCAAAAGAATGGCCAGTAGTTATAGCACTGCAACAGTTATTAAATTATACAATTGATAAACAGCCGGACGGATTTCCAAACTTTTCAATTGATTTAGAGCTTTTATATCTTACAATGTCACGAGCACGAGTTAAGTGCACAGTAATAATGTTTCCTGAAAAAGGTTCGATACTTGAGGATTATCATCGCATGTGTAGTCTACTTGATAAGCTTAAAGATTCTGTTGAAGTAAGATATCACTGACACTTCAAACTTTAAAATACAATTTATTAACTGATCCAGATTAATGTATTAACTAGGGATTTAAATATTTTGTGAATAAACATCGGGATAAATAATAAATTGCCTCATGTTTGTACTGTAGTAGATGATATTACTATACTACTGATTTTATCTTTTCATTTCATTTCATATTTTAGACGAAGCTATGAAATGGCTTGAATCCCATAAAATATTCTGGACTCTTTTTTTGTTTCATGCAGCAGTAACTTTTTTAAGAACTTTTATTATACCTAACCACTAACAGTGTAACAAATTTATTATAATTGTCTCGTTATGTAACTTGTTACTTCTACTTATCAAATTAATAAAACAAATATTTAATAAAACAAATATTTATTTTTACGGCACAATCAAACAATATCAATAAAAAATAAATAAGGGGAGGTTTGAAGAGATTTGAAGTGCCGAAGGCCACTGCTTATCTTTAGGATTTGAGAGTGACCTGTGCTTGAAACCCCCTCAACCATCCACTACTGTTTCTTGACTTTTCCAAGGCGTTTGACCTAGTAGACAGTGAGATACTGCTACATAAGCTGGAGCACTATGGTGTAAGAGGCCTCAGCTTATCCTGGTTCGAGTCTTATCTAACTAACCGGAAACAGTATGTTTACGTCAACGGTTGCAGTTCAGAAAAAATAGGACTGGAACATGGAGTTCCGCAAGGATCCATTTTTGGTCCTATATTGTTCATTATCTACATAAACGACCTTGCAAATGTAAGCGATATAGCCCATTATATTTTCTTCGCTGATGATGCAAACATCATCGTTTCTGCCGACACGTACACTGAACTGAACATGCGTGCAAACAGAGTTTTAAATACTGTACAGACATGTGTTAAAAACAACGGCACAAAAACTAAATACATGATATTATTACATGATTATTCACTAACAGATTACCAGAGGATATAAATATTAGTATAGTCATAGAAGGACAGCGACTAGTGAAAAGTGAACATGAACGATTTTTAGGTGTCATTGTTGACTCAAAACTCAGCTGGAGCCAGCACATTAAACAGTTAAAGACTAAAATATCCAGAAATGCAGGGGTAATGATGAAACTTAAAAGTTCCATTCCGAATAAAGCTAAAAAAATGCTGTACAATAGCTTAATTCAATTTTACCTGTATTACTGCGCTACTGTTTGGGGTACTAAATCTTTAAATTCCATTCAGCCTTTATTCTCTGCTCAAAAGAAAGCTATTCACGCCACTGATTCAGAATATCATAACTATTTTTACGACAAAGAAAAACGTAAACTACCATCTCACACAAAATCCATCTTCAACAAAATAGGAATTTTGGCTCTTCCTAATCTCATTGCTAAAAGCTGTCTAACTTTTATGCACAAGGTTTATATCGGAGTAGCACCATTGAGTATCTGTAGTATGTAGTAAATTAATAATCTACCTGTCTACGGTATGTGTCAGTGCACTCAGGAACGTACACGAGACCAGCCTCTCTGAACAATTCCTCACAGTTGTCCTGACTCTCGTAATACTTTTCAATAAGTCGTTCAGGGTTCCACTTGAAGTGATCAACTAACAGTCGACGAACTAACGATCTTTTTATTTTAAATATTTCATTAATTGTGATGTACCTGTGTACAACCAACTCGACTTGATTCTATATTGTATTCTGTATAAAAAACTTTAAACCTTGGTAAATTAGAAGCACTGGATTGATGTAAAAACAGATGTAATAAGATTTGGAGAATGCATGGCTGTTGTGGAATATAAGGTCTCTGTGAAAAGGTCCACTCAGTTGAATGTTTTCAACATTTTCAACACTTTTAGTTGAGTATTCTCAACATCCAAGGCTGATCCCCTGAATCTAAAACACAGGACGAATAACGTTTTATCAGGATTTTAGATGATAGTGATACGAACAACAGAATTGGATTTGGTCAGGATATAACAGTAACCAGTACAGACTACAGAATACAAGAATGATAACGGTAGCAAACGATAGAACGATAGCTTTGATATATTGAAAAAGGAAAAAATTCACAGGATAACTGATTGATAAAATCAAAGGACTCTAAAAGGAATTACCAGGATAACTGGATTTTCAGGACAACTGGATTTACCAGGATAACTAGGATTACTGAAAAAAGTTATACATCCCAGATGAGTTAGGAATCGAATAGATATAAGCTCGAAAAGGTTGAAATGTTGAGTGTTCTCAACAACATTGATACTCTCAAGTTGAGAATTCTCAACGTTAGATTTGGCTCTAGACTTGTACTCCTCGAATATTCTGTTTTACTCGATGAAGTGCCTACTAAGCCCTGTAGGCCTACGTGATTTATGATCGACAATTTGGTTTTAGAAAACAACACTCAACATCTCATGCCGTAAACTATTCTGTCAATAAAATACTTAATGAGATTGAACAGAAAAATCATGTAATTGGAATATTTATTGATCTAAGTAAAGCATTTGACACAATTGAGCACGATAAACTCCTGCATAAACTTGAACACTATGGAGTAAGAGGTATTGCACTAAAAACTCTTGCTAGCTATCTAACAAACCGTAGCCAAGTAACTTCTTTTCAAACTGAAAAATCGGATAAGTGTTCAGTTGAGTATGGTGTACCCCAGGGGTCAGTGTTAGGACCTCTACTATTTCTGATTTATATAAATGATATTGTGAGCTCCTCAAGCTTGACTGAATTCGTCCTGTTTGCTGATGATACAAATATTTTTGTGATAGGTAGTTCAGCACAGGAAGCTTTTGAAAAAGCTAATCATGTAATGAAACAGGTCAGTAACTATATGGAGTCTAACAAGTTACATATAAATGCAGGGAAAAGTTGTTATATGCATTTTCAGCCAGGTTTGTCAAGAGCAACACAGACCTGTGCCAGAACACGGCCCTTTAACAGGAATCTAACGATTTTAATAGATGGCAAAAAGCTAGAAAAAGTTCAATGTACAAAGTTTCTTGGGGTGATAATAGACGAACAGCTAAGCTGGGAACCACATCTTAATCATTTATCTTTAAAGCTGAACTCCAGTATTGTATCGATTAAGAGAATTTGCAAATTCATTCCCAAATCTGAATATTTGAAACTATACAATGCTCTTTTTATGTCACATCTTAGCTATTGTATAAGTTGCTGGGGTGGTATCCCTAAACATAAGCTGAATAAAATCTTTGCAATTCAAAAACGATGTATAAGACTGCTATTTGGTAACATTCCCAATTTTGATCATAAAGAATACTATTTAACCTGTGCACGTTCAAGAACTTATAACGAACATATGGCTAGCAAGAACTACTGTCTTGAACACACTAAACCGCTATTCACTGAGCAGAAAATTATGAACCTGGAGAATCTGCACATGTACCATACATTTATGGAACTATTCAAAATTCTTAAATTTGATGTCCCCCAGTCGATTAAAGATCTTTTCAAGTTCTGTCCTAGAAATGAAAAACTTCGTCTGATTGTCCCATTACTGAGGTTAGATATCTCCCAACAGAACTTTTTGTACACCTCTACGAAAATTTGGAATGACCTCAGCCCCTATGTATTCGTAATTTGTGATGCTAATAAAGATGGGATAATAATCCCGGGTTCTTCCAAGAATTCAGACTTGTCAGCCTCGTCAGGTATTATTAAATCTAACCTTAAAAAGCACTTGCTATCCCTCCAAAATCGAGATGACCCTAATACATGGTAACTACTTTATGTATTCTGGGTAAAATTATCTTTATCCCGGTTGTTGCGACAAGTAAAAATGCTCTTATTAGGGAAAGGAGATTACTCGACGTTTCAATGTAACTACATCGTATTCATGATCTAAAAACAAGTGTTAAAAATTCAAAACGTAAAAAACATATATCTGAGGCAAAATTTGTGTACGTTAATTTATTTTTAATCAATCAACTTTATCCAAAAATTCGATACAAAAAAGTCATAACAAAATTCATAACAAAACTAATTTATACGACGACAAACTTTTATAGTAAATACTGTACATTCCTAAAACTACTACTAAATATACTACACATGATACAGAAGCATGGAGTGCTACAACGGTGAACAGGTGCATGATGTGAAGTGTGTAGGTATGTATCTAGTGTGGAGTTAAAATGGCGGGAATCGTACTGACCAATGAGAAGTGTGAAACGTGGGAGCCTAATATGGTTTCATTGATGTTGTAAGGGTAGTGTGTTGAATAGGAGGCGGAAGTGTGCGTGTGTGAGATGTGGTCCCTGTACTCAGAAAGTAAACAAAACCTATAAATATCACTAAAAATCACTACATATGTGTAGACAATCCCCTGTCTGTAAAGTATACGTCTGTATACGTCTGTAAAGTATAAGTCTACACATATGTAGTGATTTTTAGTGATATTTATAGGTTTTGTTTACTTTCTGAGTACAGGGACCACATCTCACACACGCACACTTCCGCCTCCTATTCAACACACTACCCTTACAACATCAATGAAACCATATTAGGCTCCCACGTTTCACACTTCTCATTGGTCAGTACGATTCCCGCCATTTTAACTCCACACTAGATACATACCTACACACTTCACATCATGCACCTGTTCACCGTTGTAGCACTCCATGCTTCTGTATCATGTGTAGTATATTTAGTAGTAGTTTTAGGAATGTACAGTATTTACTATAAAAGTTTGTCGTCGTATAAATTAGTTTTGTTATGAATTTTGTTATGACTTTTTTGTATCGAATTTTTGGATAAAGTTGATTGATTAAAAATAAATTAACGTACACAAATTTTGCCTCAGATATATGTTTTTTACGTTTTGAATTTTTAACACTTGTTTTTAGATCATGAATACGATGTAGTTACATTGAAACGTCGAGTAATCTCCTTTCCCTAATAAGAGCATTTTTACTTGTCGCAACAACCGGGATAAAGATAATTTTACCCAGAATACATTACAACAATGCGACTCATAAATAATACTCCAATCCGGATTTTACATAACTACTTTATATTATATCTCAAATTCTAAATCCGGTACGGCTCTGCACACATGATATCTCTCTCTGCCATGAAACATGGCTAACCTTTTAAACTATAATTTAAAAACCTAAACCTAAACTAAAACTCAACTGGGCTCTCCTATGTCACCAAACTAAACCAATAAGTAATTTTATATTATTATATTTTTCTATATTTGTATAACAAGTATATTGACGTAGTGGATGGTTGAGGGGGTTTCAAGCACAGGTCACTCTCAAATCCTAAAGATAAGCAGTGGCCTTCGGCACTTGAAACCTCTTCAAACCTCCCCTGATTTATTTATTATTGATATTGTTTGATTGTGCCGTAAAAATAAATATTTGTTTTATTATTTGTTTTATTATTTCATGGTTCAATTTCATGAAATTGGAACCATGAACTAGGCCATGAACTAGACCATGAACTAGGCATAGACATCGACGCATCGTATTCGTACGTTTAAAAAGTAAGCTATACATGATACATCTAAACAAAACTGCAAGAAACGCGTACATTGTACGCCGTACAACTCACCCTGCCATAACCAGTAGCACACTGAACGGACACAGTTTTAGCAACAGGTCGGACAGGTGGGGACCAGCTCTCTCTGGAGAAGACTTCCTCAGGGTACGTTACCCCCCACTCATCGCCGTACAATGGGTTACATCCAGCTGCAATGTTAAATGTTGATGTTGATATTAATATAGTAGAGATTTTTGAAATGTTTTTATACCATTTACACTTTAATAGAAATAGAATAATGTATCTTATTCTTAGTAAAATTACGGGTATATGACTATGGTCTGTTCAGTCGCTGCCGATATTATCAAAATTAACTCAATATTTGGACAGTGTGCATCAACATTTTTTGTTGGATACATAGTTTGCACTGTTATTGTGTCTCAAAGAGTCAAACTCAAAGTAAACAAATTTCCGATTGTTTCTGATACTGATAGAGCTCAGCAACTTTAAAAACGATGTTCTAATATGATATGGATACCTGGTTTTAAAAAAAATACTTGGTACTTTTATTGATGCTTCATATTTCACAGCAGTTTCCTTTTCAGAGTTTCAGTTTATATTTATGATTTAGAAACTAACCATACTATCTTTTAGATTTTATTTTATGTCACTTATGATGGCTCCGGCTGAAAGTTCTATCACTCATTTTATCTAGAAGATCGTAGTTTCATTGCTTCTGAAGTAGCTATCAGTTCGCTGGTCAATGTTGGGTATAAAACTCTTGTGAATACCTGGTTTCCTTATTTCGTGATAGGTTGCAAAATGTTGTAGTAATGAGTAAGAGTTTTACTTTTAAGCAAATCGAAATAGTATTAAAAGCTAAAGCGGATATAGAGCTGCATGTTGATCAGTGATCTTATAACTTATGTTCTTGGAGTTGGAACCTTCCTCATTCATCATTGTCGTATTTATTAACTTTAAATTACATGTTTATGATAAAAACAATCGATACGAATAAATGCTATTACCTATAGCATTGAATATATGATATAAGGCACAAATCGTAGTCTCTATTTGCCAGTAACATGAATATTGAATATATTTACAGTATTCACGGCGAAAATTTTGTCACATGACCGAGATATTATAAATCATGATTAGTGTTCAGCGTCGAATTCGAAATTAATACGAATTTTATGGTTTTATAAGCACTCTGATCATACTCATAGAAATACAGACCAGGCCACAGTATATGTATCTGTAATACTGAGTATAATGAATCAAAAGCATGCACTGCAGTAGGCACAGGGCGTACAAAATGAGATTGCTAGTCCATGTTTTTGTGCTTATGTTTATTGCTTATCTCGCCTTACTTTATTCGGACATACGTACATTTACTATTGCGTAGGTTACTTTTCTTGCAGAAATTTTAAAACACGTGCCTTTTAAAGGTGCGCTTTGCCCCTTTTTTCTATCAATTGCGGGTAATTTGATAAACATTTTTATCGTTTAAGACTGCAAAGCATGAAGAAATTATAAAAGTTTTAAAAGTTTGAAGTGATTAAGAATTAAAAATTTCGTAAATTCAGACTGACAATCATACATTACAGAATTTACATTTAAAGATTGAACTTGAACTTCAGAATATTAATAATTAAATTATTTTCGAAAATTTGAAAACACAATATCATCAAAGTCAAACAGGTGCATTTTGTATTTATCGTCTTTATTACGATATGTGCTATATAAAATGATGTACAGTTTCTAAATTTAATTAGAATTAAACGTCCTCAAAAATAACTTTTAGGGATCGTTCACATATTACGTAATCACTTTTTGGATAATTTGTACCCCCTCCGTAATCAGTTTTAGTTTTACACATATCTATTGTGTCAAAATTACACTAGCGTAATCATTTGGAAACCCTCTCTACCCTCGACTGATTAGGTAATATGTGAACGATCACGACCCCTTATCAGATATTCTCAAAAATGCCAATTAATTTATATACTCAATTCGAGTCTTTCGTGTCTTTTAAACGGTTCATATGCTATTGCTCCTTATTTTACCGACTATGTCCTGAAGGTGCACAAACTCCTTATTCTGCCGACTATGTCCTGAATGTGCACAAACTCCTTATTCTGCCGATTATGTCCCCTAGAAGTTCCCTATTCCTCAGCAAAATTATCATCGGAGTAAGCACAGCATTAAAAAGAGGAAGTACCGTTGTTACAGGACCTTGAATCTCCATCATTACATCTGCAATCGACCTGTAAGTTACATCATTTATATCTGAGTACTTGGTGATGATGAAGACCATGGTAGCTGCAAAGGTGAGGGCACTGTTGCAGATCAGGAAGACTGAGGCCAGGAGGAAGACAGTGGTGTTAACATGCGCCCAATCATTGAGGGGCATCGCAGTGTCTGGAGGTCTGGACCTGGAGTGCTGGACTCCGATATGGATTTGAACCATGATACTGATAATCACGAGGACCACAGGTATCATGTAAATCACCGACAAGATGGTGAACTGGATCATTGTGCTCACAGTTTTGTTAAATCCATATCCTATGAAAACGGTCCAGGGTATGGTTTGACCTGGAAACGGGTACATTTCCTCGAAGGGAGAGAAACAATACCACAGGTTGAGAAAGTTGGAGAAGTAGGAGTTGAGGGACATTGTGAACAGGTCAAACACTGTAAAAGCGATCAGCAGCACAGCATACATAACTCCAACGACCACTACAGCCAGCATACTTGGTCGGTAGAAAGGGTTGTAGATTTTAATGCTCCGAAGAACAGCAAGAAGAGTATTGAGGAGGATGGAGCAGGAGTAACCAAGCAGACCAGCGACTCTGTAGACCACAAAAAACCACCACATCATCTTGTCGTAGTTTTCGGGGTCACGTGACCACAGGATGACTCCTCCAGCAAAGAAAAAGTTCCCTATGGCGGTCATTATATCGGATATGGATATCAGGAAGAAGAGGAGAAAGGTGATCTTTGTGCGGTTTTTATAGTAGCGGGAAACCACCAGTCCGTTCAGGACTATGATGAGGACACATAGGGTAATGTTGATTGGAGCGATGTTTCTGTAAGATAGCTTGAAATATCTCTCATCGTCCGATTCTGTCGTAGAGATAGTTGACCAGGTTGGTGTCGAGATGCTCTCATTATTTTCGGGAACTAGAATGTTCATTCTGTGGCAGAGCGTTTGAAAACAAATATTTTACGAATACAAAAACAAAAAAATTTTAAGAAGCGAAGCCTCTTTAACTGCTACATATAAAATTCCTCGGAAATTAAACTTCTCCTTTATATTATAAATAGATAGATCATAGACTTAACTCTAGTTACTCATTCCCCAATTTTGGCAGAGATTTGTAAATTACTGTAGAACATATTGTATGTCAGACTGTAAAATTCTGTGTAATAAGAGTGCCCTTCAATTCTTCGATATCAGGTACTTGAATCAAAGCCAAGTCATCACAACTCTTGTGAAATATTTGAGATAATCTACTACTACAACTAGGTATAATAGTCGTACAGAAGGGCAACTAAATAGTATAGCATGTTAAATATAATATGAAAATCACACTCACGTTGGCAGTAGAACTCCCTTTCTGCTCCTAAATAGTGAAACACATCCGGAACGTTAGTGCCAGTCTTACAGCTTCCTTTTATTTTGTTGTTTACGTTCACATCCGTTACATTCACTCCTGAAAGTGAACAGGATTACAATTTTGAGTACATCCACGAGCTTATTTTAAGGACGTAAAACCTTCAAGGACCTTACATTTTATAACAGTTGCAATTTATATATTAACTTATTAATTATTAAGCCAGATAAAATATTCTGTCCAGTAAGATTTTTGATAGCGTTTCTTTGATAGACAGTCACAGTAATACGAGACAACAATAAAAGGAAAATACTAACCGTCGACAGACCGCACATTGTTTACGAAAACCCAGTTATCCTCAGAGCACGTGACCTCCCAGTCGTTATCAGTTTCAGTAACTTTTATTTCTGGGGATGAAGTATTATTATTAATTAATTGAAGAGATTCGATTAATCTCTAATGATAGCGCCAATGGTGACATAGCCTCTAATATGAGTAATAGATCTTATTGTGCGAAATAAATGTCCAATGGTGATGGATATTCGGTATCACCATCCCTTTATCGAAATGATTGCACGGAATTGGAGCATATTTGCCAAGGTTATACTAGTTAGATTGGTTCGGGTCGCCATTGAATCCACTCAGTAGTGCAATTTGGCATTCGCACCTACAGCGATGTGTAAAATCTTTTATAATACCTTTGCCAAGGACGTGTAAAAGAACAACAAATGCTCAATCTTACAGAAAATGCTAAATCTTACTGAGATCGGCAGTGTTGGAAGGAATATCTGTACAGGCCGCTGCGCTAAGATCAACAAACAAACAAACAACAATACAATTCCACAGCAGCATGGTTAACATACCTTATGTCCCGTGTAAAATACAGATTCATCTGTGAGCAGACTGAGTGTTGAGGTGCAGGATGTGAGACCAGTCATTGAACTTTAGTAGTGATGATACAGTAAAACCCCGATTTACCGCGGAGTTTGGGGAAAGGTAACATTCGCGGTAAATCGGGGTTTGCAGTAAATCGGGGCACGGTAAATCGGCCATGAGTGTCAGCTGTACTCTATCAGTATCATGAAATTCCTGAAAGTGAAATTCTTGTAATGATTATTAACTAGTGATCTTATAAAGAGATCTTATTATATAAAGAGATTATATAAATTCTAAAGTGATCCTACCTAATGTTGACACGTCCCTCACTACTTCTGACTTCACTAGGCAGCTTGTACTGTGTTGCGTAATGTAGCTCCTGCTAAGGATATGATAACAAAATCCGGTCAAAGGAATTCAATAATTATAGTAATTTCCTGGAATAACTGATCAAGGTACAGCACTCAATTTTAACAAAGGGTTCAAATTAATATTCATATTATATTACCAGGGCATCTGGCTACACAGACACAGCCTATTTATATTATACGGATTAACCGACCGGTATCTGACCTTGAATTGTTATTTTTGAAATTATATTACGAATATTCGTCAGTGATAGAGTTTAATATCCGAAAAAATATCAACTACTTGTTTGGTTTGGTTGCTTTGGAAATTCTTTTTCTGAAGATAACAACGAATCTTTGTAAGAGAATAGATATTAAATAGACGCATATAATTATAATTCGGGTAAAATTTAATTTAAAAAAGGATTAAACACAAAATAGTTTGGTTATTACATATTAACTATCCAGTCAGTCAGACTGTGGTAAAGTGAAATTTCACACTTTCGGTCAAATCTAAAATTTATTGTGCATTGTGTTAATAATGAATAAGCAAATATTCATAATAAAATGCAGATCAGAGCAGGAATCTCTGAATTAAACCGCAGGATTTATTCAGACTATGTCTGTTGTCACTGGCTAGCCAGAGCGTTTAAACTAAATAGACCGAGCCGGCAGTTAGCCTTCAGTTCATTGTAAAGCGGCCCCGTCATTAGTTGCACAGTCCTTGGGCGAGCAGTGAGGGATTAATCTACCTCCGCAAGCAATACGGCTCTCAGTGCCGGCAGATCACAAAGTGTGTATTCTAGCAGCTGCAAACCTTCTGTAGTATAGGTGTTCAAGTTTCAGGAGGTGCACAAAAGCGGCCTTCTTTGCATTTCCCACCGTTTTTACTGACAGTTTTGGATACTCTTGTGGAGGTGACAGCGATTAACCAATCAGGTTCACGCATTCACTAATCCAAAACCCAAGATACTGTCACGCGTCTAAACAAATGTGGTTCTCCTCTCCAACAGTAACCAAATGTATCATTACTGCTTTTAAGATTGGGATTTAGTGCACATTTAAAGGCCTAAAATCAAGGTCACTGGTCCAGACTGATAATCTACGGGTTTCTTTAGCTTTAAATATTATAACGGTTAATCGGTGCTCGTAGGGATATATCAGTGGTCCAACACACTGTAAGTGTAAAGGATTTACAACACATATATAATCATGATCATCTAGTACATCAAGCGGACACCATTGGCTGTCGAGACACAATAAAATGATAATCAGCAATAACTTATTAGGGCGGGACAACTGGTATCCCAGAAATCACCCTAAAATATAGCCGATGTGCACGAGGGTTCGTACTAAAACATGCCGTATTATACGATAAATTAAATAATTAGTGACCTATTTGTCCACATTTCCGGGGGCCGAAGAGCTTACTTGACCTAAGAGCATGAGATTTGAGGTTGATTTGTAGAACTTGAGCATATGATTTTACTATAGTAAATCGTTTCTTGCACTGTTTCCGCTTAAAAATTGTTTGTGAAGGGCAGTAGCTATTGATTTTGGTTTGTTACTTGGGCTTTTCCAATAAATCTTCCAAAACATCGTCAGAGTTCAGGGTTCCACTTCCAATATAACTTCATTACTTGAATGAAAAGTAAGCTCTGTCACTTTTTTGCAGAAGGTCACCATTTGTCGAGGTGAAACCTACTTTTTGCTTATCCCGTAATTTCAAAATCACAAATCGAAAATATATGCTGTTTTAACCATAGTAATTTTCCCGAGTTTCGCTGGCAATTCGTTGTGACAACATGAACAAATTGACTTTTCCAATAAACCACACTAATTATACTCTAAAATAACTCCTAAAAGTTTAGGAAATCGGAATAGGTATGCCTAGTACATATATATATATAGTACATACATATATATATATATATATACTTATATATATATAAATTATCTTCTTTTCAAGATTATCATGAACACATGCAAATTTACGTGCAAGCGCACGTGTAATTGCACGTGCTAGTTCAGGTGCGAGTGACTTCGACTCTATTATAATATGAAAGACACAATCAAATAAGCTGGAAGTTATGATAAAGTCCAGCTTATTCCACATATTTGATTGGATCAGAATTACAAAAGACTAATCTCGAGTTCAAGCTGACTATAATCTCACTTCGCCACCAGTAGAAGTTCCCACAACACTGTGTTACACACAATACTCATGGTAGTTGTATTACAGCTGCAATAATAATCTTTATTAGCTTATGTTGTGGCCGGAATACGTCGTGGCGAGCTAGTACTAAGATCAATAACTATCATATTAGTGTCTTGTACGTGTGATTTGAAAAGTTGGGGCACTGAAAATATTAATTATTTTGCTGTCTATTTCGATAAAATGTCCATTTATCAACTATGTATAAATGTACCATCTCAGGCCTTCTATTCAGGGCCTATGGCTATGTACTGTTGATGTAATCACGGTAAACGAGTATTCATTCATCGTAGTTACTGGTAGTCATACGAGACCAACATTTAGCCGGTTGTGGTTCCAGTGATTATGCTTTATCATCAAATCATATTGAAGCAGTGGGTCGGGCTTACAAATACAAATGTACACTAGTCGTAGAGATGATAATATACATGTTGTTGACTTGAAATTTCGATGCCTGGTCTGGGTCAATGGGTGACTGGATAATATCTAGAATCTGGATCATCTAGTAGATGATTAGTTATACTCTTCGTCGGTATCAACTCTGATTGTGGAAGTTGAAACTGTGAGCTCTTCGACGTTTATCATTTTGTTAAGGGCCCACATTTTGTTACTGGATGTTGATTTGGGAAGCCCATGTCTGTAATGGTTCGATAATCGATATCAGGTCACGAAAGATCGCTGCTAAAGAAATAGAAACGATAATCAGTAGCAAATATTACTGTGAAAGTACTAGTTGTAAGCAAGAGTTTATAGTTAGAGAGTTTAGTTAGAGAGTTTAGTTAGTGCAGTACACGCCGGGTAAAATCAACATGAACAGTGGTGAATATAGTTTCTTTGTAGTCGTGGCAACACTCTGTAAAGTGTACAGTTCACTTTTACTGTCGTAATTTGTTATTGCTGTAGTGTGTTTAAGGCAGGGCAACTGGTGGTTTCACATTCCAGGGCAACTGGTGGTTTCACATTCCAGGGCAACTTGTGGTTTCACATTCCAGGGTAACTTGTGGTTTCACATTCCAGGGCGACTTGTGGTTTCACATTCCAGGGTAACTTGTGGTTTCACATTCCAGGACAACTTGTGGTTTCACATTCCAGGACAACTTGTGGTTTCACATTCCAGGGTAACTTGTGGTTTCACATTCCAGGGTAACTTGTGGTTTCACATTCCAGGGTAACTTGTGGTTTCACATTCCAGGGCAACTTGTGGTTTCACATTCCAGGGTAACTTGTGGTTTCACATTCCAGGGCAACTTGTGGTTTCACATTCCAGGGCGACTTGTGGTTTCACATTCCAGGGCAACTTGTGGTTTCACATTCCAGGACAACTTGTGG